GTCGTTTATCAAAAATAAATTATCAGGAGAAGGATCGTGGCGCGAAGGAAGGGGCCGAGGCGGGGGAGGCAAGGTGCACCGCGTGCCTTCGCGCGTCTATGGCCGCGTGCATGGCGGCGGGCGTGCGTATATACGGGAAACTCCGAGGAGACGAAGAGGCCATGATAGGCGAGCGACGGCGGGAGGAGGAAGAAGCTCGAAGAAGACGAAGCCGAAGAAGTGGCGACCGCGAGGGGAAACGGGGGAAGACCGATCACGAAGAAGCAACGCACAGCCGCTGCACGAAGGACGGAAAGGTGGAAGAGCATCCTTTGGAACCGGTCCGTCCTCTCGGAGCGGCCGCGGCCAGGTGAAGCCAGAAGGCGAGCTTTCGTGACGGCGTGTCCGCCGAACCGACCCGAAATACACCACTCCTCGGCGAAATTAGAACGAAGGTCGATATATGTTAACGACTTTGGTGACAATTTCAGACGCTAATCGTTTAAATGACATTTTCATCGCGCGATGCGATGTTCTTCATGTCCCGAAAATCGAATAAATAATAATAATAAATAATAATAATGACATATATACTTTGTCGAATAAGCATCATCCGCTAGCGTGGGTGTGTACGGAGAGGTGTGGAGTACACGGGGGAAAGGGAATATTGGTCGACAGCGAAAGAGAATATCGGAAGATATAATTTTATGCTCAATTTCATAGGCGAGAGATGTAAGCGATCTTTGTGGCCTGGAAATATATACTTCACACACATCGCGCAAACGAAACGCAAATTGAAAGGGTTAAAAAGGGATAATGACATGGCTATACGTCGGGAATAAGAGGGTTAATGAGAGAACTCGAAAGCTCCTCGCGAAGCGAACGGGATGAAACTGATCCTATCTCTTCGATACATAGCTTATCACCGTGATCGCGAGAAGCAGTCCCACCCAGAATGCACTATCCCAGTGTTTTACCTTGTGTGAAAGTCATACATAATATCTGGTACCTCGAAGATAAAACAACCAATGTCACACACACACACCCCGTATGTTGGATGTGTGCCACGGAATAATATCGGTTGTACTAGTTTCGAGTTACCAATATAATTTAACGCGACATTTAAATATTATATACCGTTCGTATGCGCGGCACACAGCGTCTCTACTCGGAAATGACTTGAGTCTTATCTTTTTTTCAAGTACGAAAGACAAATATCATAATTTAGTAAGGACGCTTCGCTTTTTATCTTTGAGCCGCAGAATAGCGTAGGTCATTCCAGCCCCCAGTTATAAACGTGATTTAGCATGGTAATTAAATTTCTATGATCACTACTAAGACTTGCACATAATTCGTGCAATAGTTTTCACACTAAATGCCAAAAAGTCCCAATGCAGTTTGCAATTCGCTAATTTCCGAAACGCATTCTATGTCTTCTCCCAGATTTTTACCTTTCGATTAAATTCTCACGATAATATTATTCTCTTTTAATAGGTCTTTTAGTATAATTTCTTTTTTATATTTATTTCATATAATTTTGCAACTAACGGTACATAACGGCATCGCGATATAGCGCAAACGCCTCGCGAGCGGTAAGTCCGAAACAATTATCTACCTTATTCAAATTACCGAATTCTTCAATGGAAAGTTTGAAAATTTCTAATTAATTATAACGGAACGTGTCAATGTGTCAAATATATAAAGTAAAACAATACTTGAGTTACGGAAAAGTGATGAGCCCGCGTAATTGAGAGTAAGGATATATAGAGAATATAGAAGCGGGATAGTGAGCAAACGAGAAAGAAAGAGGAAGAGAGAAGGAGGAGGGAGAAGAGAAAGAGAAGGGTGGGAGGAAAGAGCGGACGAGCGAGCAGGGAGGTAGGTGAGTAAGAAGACAAGCGGGGGAAAGCGGGAGGGTGACAGGATCACAAGGTGAGAGGATGAGAGAAAGAGGGGAAGGAGGGTGTACAGCAGGTTAAGAGCGGCAACGGAGAAGAGAGAGGGAGAGCAAAGGACGGAGTGGCGTTGAGGGAGGTGAGGAGGGGGATAAACGAAGGGAAGGAGGTGAGGAGTTGGGAGGGTGAGAGACGAGGGAACGGAGACTGAGGGAAACCGTGAGGTTAAAGGAGGAATTGAGAGAAAGAGAGAGGGAGAGAGAAAGGAAGAGCGAGCGAGCGAGAGAGAGAAAGAGAGAGTAGATATAGTGACAGTGCGGGGTGGGGTGAGCGGAAAGCGGGGACAACCTCCAATAATTGTGAATGGGGATTCGGTTTTCTGATCGACTATTTTGTATGCGAGAGAGAACGCCGTCGCGCCGCTGCCGAGAAGTAAGAATATTGCGAGGCCTATAGGAATAACTGTAAACGCGCGGCGTTATTGCGGTATATACTCCTATTCATCGACGATACTTGCAATTTTTACGACGATGCGATTAACCCTCATCCGGTCGACCTCTTTACAATCAAATGAAAAATTCGATTTGCGCTGACATCATTATTTGTCACGATTCATATACGATTGATAAAGAGACAAATAATATTTTAAATAAATTCGCAAATCTTGAACGAAGGGATAGAAAATTTTTAACAAATTTGGACTCTTGCATAAACAAACGAAAAATAAATTCTGAAGTTTTTCCTCGCACTCTCTAAAATGAGAACATTTATATTCTGTTTGCCGGATAAAGACTAATTCGTTCTCACGCGTGCATTTTTATATAAATTCTAAAGAACGCTTTCAACTATATATATATAAATATTAAATATTGTTTAATACGTGTGCGTATATTACGTACATATAAGTATGAGAATTCTTAAACAGCTTCAATGTTTGTTGATGTTAATTTTAAAACGTCTTGTAAAATCAATTTTCAGAAATATTTTAAGTTAGCTGGTCAAGATTATCGATCGACGTCGCATTAAATATCATTCATTATGTGAGAGAAAAAGTTGTCTAATAAATATATTTCGATTGAGATATACAATTATTCGCGGATATTTTAATATACAAATACGAATAAATAAAAATTATTCAATCACAGTGAAAAAGTACATGCGCAAGATTCATGAGATACTGAATTTTCTCTATAGGTTTGGACAACGACATCTTTCTGAGATATCGAGAGACTTGTTTGAGTCTCGGTAACAATTTTATTGAAGTCATGATATTGCGTCGGTAAATGAATCGCAGTCGATAACAACTCTATATCCGATAATAATTGTTGTACGCAACAAACACTTATTTTTTTGTCAACAAGATATTATTAAAGGATAACAATCTTACGATAATTTACGTGATTTTCGGTATTTGGATAATATCCTATATAATGCAGCGTGAATTTTATAATTGATCATTATCTATCACGAATGATAATTATGGATACATAAAGACTTATTTATAACAAAATACACATAGATTATGCAGATAATTGCGTTGTAGACATAAGTCTACAAACACATCTGGATAATAATAAGTCATAAAATTAATTCTCTGTTATATAGGTTTGTAACCACGAAATCACATTCGTCACACATACCATTCGAGAATTGAAATTGACAATTAGAAGGAAGCTTAAATTCGATAAGCTTACATTTGATAGCCATTTGCAACAACATTCTCGATGATGATGTTTAATAGCAACAAATTTAGCTCGATGTAACACTAATGTACATTAATGAATCAAAGGTAAATACATACCAAATGCGAAGCAGAAGCGCCGAAAGTTGAAAGCATCTGTTTTGTTGTTCTTGCATGACTCCATATTTGCAACGCGACGAATACCCGTTACAAATATCAAGGCACATAACGTTTATAATTATATACGAACAGCCCAATTGACATTCTGAGATGATCGTCCATCTTAAGGCAATACTCTTAACGGTAGTCACACACGAGATTAACTTTCGACGAGAAAACAATTCGACAAAAACACGACGTAAATATCACTTACACTCGAACCGGCGCGAGACACAACACGAGCTGCCGCGTACTGACAAGGTCGAGTGACGTCACAAGTGCACAACGCCGTGATATTTTGGACAAACACTCGACATATTTCCGACATGCGTGTTAATCTACATTTTAATAACATTTAAGTTTATTTTGATATTTAGTATATACGATTATTTCAAGTATCATGCGTATTATGTGATTTTTAATAAATATAAATAAATAAGCGGAAACAAAATATCGCGTTTTACAGCAGCTCGAAGTTCAAATTATCGCGTTTTACGCTTTAAACTCACCAGAGAAGTTTTAAGCATAAACTGTCGTCGCTTGGTGTGATAATAGTACGTTTCGTATCTTAATTATAATACCTATGATATAATAAATCACTAACCTTACGGAATTTAAGTCAATATTTATGGTTCAATTTTGTACTTGAAATTATCTTTAGGCTGCGTTCAGATATTCACTGTCAATAGTGAAAATCTAGAAATCTGTTTTCTATCGCTGCACTGGCTATACCAGCTCGCACTGATTCTCTTTTCCTTTCTTTCTTGAGATTTGGTAGGAAAGAGAGAAAAAAGGAACTAGTGCAGCCAGTGCAGCAATAGAAAATAGACTCTATAGTATAGGTAATATGAGCTATAGATTTTCAGCATTAGCAGTGAATATTGGAACGCAGCCTCAGTACAAGTAGAATGCTCCTCCATAGACTACATAGTTTCTTAAGATTGTCTTAAGGCGATCTTAAATATAAAAGTGGACTGTAAATATTAACTTTATGTAGGCAAAATATGTTATTGCTTAATATATTCCTATCGGTAAATTAAGGGAGTAAATTAATACGGTTGATAATTATAAAGTGCAGTTGCACACAAATACATATTTTATCGCGCGCACGCACGCACACACACACATACATATATTCTTAAGAATGATCGATGATGTCACTGTTTTTTAGTTACTGTCAAGCCTACCTAAATTTCATTGAACAATATTTATCTTGGACTGACGATCTTTATTATTATCATCGGTGTTTGTACAAAGTATCGTTAAATAGTCGTCAAAAGAAAATATCTAAGGAAATAATGCATCAAAAGTGCTAAGCAAAGTGTCGTGTCTATCGAAATCTTTTATTACTTGAACCACTACCAAATTCAGTTAGTTATGAAACAGATCGCAGCGTGCAGTGCACATTTGTAAAGCCGCATTTTCCGTGATTTTGGCTTTCCAAAAGTAAGTCTTATGTGTGAATCATTGTCGATGATGCCAAAGATAAATTTCGTATGTTTGTCGCGACACACTTATTTTTGAATAGCCGTCGGAAGTAAATATCTCATGAGAATCAGGCTGTCCGAAATGTCGAGAAAAATATTGCACTTTCGTCACATTATGATAGTGAAAAATTTAAATAGCCGAGTTTCATACCTTTAGTTCGCTGAAAAAGTCTCGAGTGCGAATTATCGTTACCGGGAGTGTCAAAGGTACGTGTTGCACGTTCGTCTAAAGTAGAATGACCGTTTATCGTTCGTCGGAAGACCGAGTGCCGAGTGAAGTGTCGCGCGTATCGAAAGAAATTCGCGTATCTCAATCGCTACGATGTTCAGTCAGTCTTGAAACGTATCGCGACGTTCGGTACGTGCTCGTAAAACCGCTTCGTATCTCTCCTAATTTTGGCTTATCGAAGGAGGATCTCGCGCGTGTATCATCGCCGAGAGTGCCGAAAGTAAATCTCGCGCGTGAATCGCGATGAAACATTGCCTATTAACTATCAAATGGCCGCCGAAAATGGTTATTTCGCGTAACGGTCGGTTGAGGGTGGTGATCGACGTGTCGCTACATGTTCGTTACATTATGGCGGCTTCAAGTTCCAAATAATCGGCAAAAATGAATATCTGAGGTACTGAGTCAGGAATGCCGGCAGAAGTATCGCGTCGAATATATTAATCGTTATACGATTTTTAGTCAGTCGTGTAATAATCGAAAAGTCGTTTCGTATGTTTCGCGATTTGGTTCGTCGAATGTAAGTCTCGCGCGCGAATCATTCCTGGGAGTGCCGACAAAAAGTTTCGTGCTGTTATTGTGAAAAGAATATCATAAAATAGCCGTCGAACATAAACATCTCGTGAAACCGACTACCGAGAGTGTCGAGCAAAGTTTTACACGTTCGCCGTGATATGGCGGTCAAAGTTCAAATGGCAGCCCTTTGCACTGTCGAAGCAGTGTTGCGCGCGAATATCGTCAGGAATGCCGAAAGTAAGTCTTGCGCGTGTGTGTATTGTGGTCATGAAGTAACTATAGAAAGTGGATATCTTGCGGAACGGATCGTCAAGAATGGAGTGTCGCACATTCACATGGCAGTTTGGAGCTCAAGTTGTCGCGTTTTGCGCAGTCGAAAGAGAAGTCGGTGAGTGTTAATAGAGGCTACAATAGATAGCGTGCCTGTGAATTTTGCACGTCGAATCGTGTATGCTATTCATGAATTTTAGCCAAACAGCGGCTCTGATTTCGTTTGAAATTTAAGGTCGCACTAAAGGTAGCGTAAAAAATGCGGGGAATATGTTGCATTCCATGGGCTTGAGATAAATACCAAAGATTTCTTTTTCTGATATGTAGATAATCGACATTCATATTTAAACAAAAGTACAGATTAACATAATAGAGCTTCTAAGAATACGCTGTTATAATTATTGTTACATGGTATCGCGTGATACCGCAGTAGAAGATATATCTAAGGAGTTAATCTAACGTTACAAATTAATCACAATCGTGGAATGAACGAATCAACTGAAAATATGTGATCGATTAAATTCACTAACAGCAATAAGCTTATGTTAAATTACTTGCAGTAAGCGTCACTTCTAATTTCTTCTAGTATCCTCTTTCTTTTCGATACTATAATCGTGCGTATTGCTTTTTCGTTTCATCCGTCGTATTTGACTAATAGTTTGTGTATCATCTCTGAGTGAAAAATTTTAATCGAAAAATTAACTCGAAGTTGCGTGAAACAACATACTTATCGGTTATGTAGAAAATGGAGATAAAGATAAAAGAAAATATAGCCATTCACATAAAAATCGAATAATTATTGAGCGAATTTATCTGACAAAAGTACATAATTTATATATTTTCGTAATTATATATTCGCAACTGTTTAATTTCGAAATCGTATACGTACGCACACGTTGTAAACACGTGGGAGACGGAAATTATAAAAAAAATGAACGACATAATTCTAGTTGCAAAATTCATTTATTTTGCTCTACTAATGCAGTCAAAATTCAGAGAGAACAGAATTTATTGATTCGTTCTGTACAGTGCATATCTTTCGGGACTCGTATTTATCCAGGAAACGTATATAGGGATTTCATCGATCGCAAGATCGACGCGTCGCGATCTAACATCAAATCAAATCAAACACCAAATCGCTCGTGTTCTCACAACTTACTGCACACATATCAATATTTGCAAAAACACCAAATGACAATGACGTAACTATAATCTTCCCTCGTGAAAAATATAAAGCGATCCGCCGAAAAAATGAAGGAACAGAAAGGGCAGGGGGAGAAGAAGTAGAAGAGGAAAGAAGGGAAAATGCGAAGAAGCGGGCTCGTAGGAACAATTGAAGAATGGAAATTAAATACCAGCCGAAGATTCGATGCAACATTTCAAACTAATATTCTTAGTTATGAAGAAACTTGCATTTTTTTCACGATATTTAATAGCGCTCGCTGATTTAATGCTTCAAGATGCTACGAATGTTTAAAATAATATCGCGTGCTCGTGACATTAAATTGATAAACAAGCATTTCTGCAAACATGAAACATCCCCTTTATTAGTAGTTCTCTAATTATAGTTCGCGATACATAGCTGATATTTAATTTCCACTCTTCAATTTCCCGCGGGAACATCTATATATCCTCGAAAGTTACCATTAGAAAGTATCGATAAAGTCCTTACATCTCTCCTACAATTATATCGATGTATTAGAGATAATATAGCCAATGAATTACAAACAATAATATCGCTAATGAATACGAGGTTATTCGTGTTAGTAGTACGTTGGATTTCGTCCGATCGTCTCGTTCGTAATCTTAACGCGTTCAAAAGTCTCCTTGATGGTTTCACGATCGTAAAAACGCGATGTATCAAGATCCTCGATTGTTATTTTTCGTCAGAATCGCAATCAGTAAACCTATCGAGAAATCGCGAGAACCACGCGTTGTCAATAATAACAAACGTAATCCGACCCTTAATAGTAATACAGGGAGATTGATATGGATCTTAATCGGGCCATTTTCTGTCGCGGTGTAATAAATAACGAGGCAGTGTCGCATCGAGTATTCGCTCGCCCATAATTCGTACTTCCGTATCATTCGGAACACGGCGATTCAGTTCAGCTCTTGCTAATTTAAAGCGTTCAGTGTCGCATACATTTTGATTAATTTCGCGGAAACCTGATTAGAGAGATTATACGTCCTAAGATCGCAAATTGAACGCAAATAAATGTTTCTTTACAAACACAATCATGTTATTACTCCTTTGATACGCTTCCTCTATATTGTAAATTTCTAAATATACATATACACACACGCATATATATATATATATATATATATAATGTAAATATAGTTCTTTTTGTCGATACATGTTACAAGGCCGGTCAACGGCACGAACGATGCGGCACTGAACGCGTTAAAGAATCACACGAAGGACACACGGGAATTATCATCATGATCAAGAATTGAGCGTGAATCGCACTCGAGCATGCGGTGAAAATGTGCGCTTCGGCCCTCCGACTATTGACGCAACACTAGTATGAATGATATGGAGGTGATGATTTCGGGCGATGTCGTGAAAGTCAGCCGAGAAGGGCTTCGAGCACATCGTCATCTCATCCTCGAGTTTGACTTATGTCAATCGTAACAATGGCAGTTTTGTCGGCTTTCATAATGTGCGATAGATGATCAATCGACGAACGGAAGAGCTCGTCTCTTTTCCGTCGCTTGATTTCCCAGTCAGCCTGCTCGTCGTGATGCATGACATCTTCTTCCTTATTTTCGTTCTTTTTCGCGGATCTACAGATCACCATTGAAATGTGAGACCGACGCGGGTATACATTCGATGGAATGGGTGAGCGAACGTGAGATATCTCGATCATGCGTGAAAATGATCGATCGATGATGTTCGGGTTATGATCGGTAAAAGCGGTGACGTCGAACCCGGTGATGAGGTGGTAAAGCACGAAAGTTTACTCTTTTTCTTGACTATTTCGAGACGAATGATGTAATGGCGGGGATCGTTGCAAGTATCGAACCGTCCACACCTCTCCGAGAAGACGACTTATAAATAAAATATGCGAGGTCTGTCAGGAGTATATATCGTAAAATATCAAAGTATGATTCTTGGCTTGTTTATGTTGATTTCCCATTCGCTCCATTGTACGCATATTTACGTACACACACTGATCGTTGCGTTTCTCTCTTTCGTATCATCGCGCCTCCCTAGCATAGTTGACGAAGATATCCGAACGACGCGAAATCGCCTATCGATCTATAGAAATCTCCGCCTGTGGCCTCAACTAGACGGGAACATGCTAAACCGAATAAAAAATAATAATCGTAACGGAATACATATCGCTCGGCGAAGTCCGGCGGCTGTTAGCAATAATAATAATAACCGATAATAACGAATCCTTTCGAGAGAGAAACCTATTTCTATCGATATCCTTAAATCACAGTCAATTTAACAGGAATGGACATAATAAACAGCAGTAAAAGTATCATCTGCCGAGAGCGTTTCAACCGCTATCATCGTGATCTTCTAATATCGTTTTCATAATGGCGGTTTTAAAATAACATTGAGCATAAAAGAAGGCAAGTCTATGCATAGAGTGTCTACATTAGCGCTTCGCACATAATTTAAGTGACTAGACGATACAAAGCAATGTTTGCTTGCCTTTACTTTTATCTACTCAAGTTTTTTTTCTTCTTTTCTTTCCCCGATGGACAGCTGTCTTTTTGTAGACGCTTATTTCTATTTTCATTCGAAACATTTTATATTTCAAATCACAAGTCATCTTTTCCTGTTGATTTATCTAAATTTCCGATATATTTAGAAAAATTATATAGAAACATATATATGTATATATGTTTCCGAAAATTTTGAGAAATCAAATAATCCTTATGTCAACAGGCAGCGAAAAAAATGCTCAATCTTTATCTAACTTAGTTTACGTGCAAAGCAATAATGTAAAAGTTATACATGTAGACTTTGCGCAAACATTCAATCATTTAGTTCGTTAGTTTATAGGAATGACAGAGTAAATCTACGAATCGATATGCTTTTCCACGAGTATTTCGAAATCACGTCGTGTTTCGAAATCACGTCAACGTAGAAGAGAATGTGTCCAATTGATTACACGATTAAAAGTTGAAAGTTTGATAATATAATTTATGTGATATCTCTATAAGCGATTTAATCACAAATGTAAAAATTTACTTAATTTTCAATTAATCGATTACATTACGAAAACACCACAAATTACTAAACTTGAGTCTCATGTAATCAACGAGAACCATTCGCCTCTTACATTGAGCAATTGCGAACCAAGTCGCGAAATACTTTGATACTAATCGAAGATAAAAGAGAGTTTAAATCTCTTTGAGACAAATGACGTTTCGCAACGTAACTCGTTAACGCTTCTGTGTCAACGTCATTAAGAAAGAAAATTACATTACGTGAACCATGTTAGGCAGACAAAACGATAGCCGAAAGCGTATCGATGCAAGAAGCGCTAATATTTAAAAAAAAATCCTAATTACCTTAATAAAAACGCGATGAGCAAAACTAATGTAATCGACTGCACGATGTATTTACAATAACAATCTCGAGTTAGACTCGAAATGTATTGTTTATCAGTTCACAAAATTAAGAAGGAGTTGTATGCGACAAAAATCTATTATATAATCTAAAGTCAGCGACTGCTCGAGGAGTTACCAATTCAGTCTTAAGAAATAATTAAGTCAACATTTCATGGTTGCAGCAATAAAACATCTATCGGATTCCTCAATATCATACATCGTATTAAAAGAAAAAGAAAGCCTAAGACGTAAAATGAGGAAGCAAGAGAGGGACTTCACAAACCGTCGAATTCATTTGGCACAGATACAGTTGACATTTTAACGCACTGCAACTATGTTGGAATTACCTATTCTATCAGTTTCCACGTACAATCAATTCTGTTTAGGCGGTATAAAAAAGATGTCAATACTTGTGTTGTCAAGAGTGATAGTAGTATTTGAGAAAAAAAAAAAAACTTTCAAAAACACGTAGTAATCGATTACAACGGGGATGACACGTTCGATTACTTCTAGACCGATCACGCGCGAGATTACAGCTAAGAAAGTTCTGCGTGTTTAATTGTAATAAGTCACTGCCTTCGCTTGTAAAAAGTGTCGTAATGATCGAAGGCAGATCGTTATTGGAGAAAGCAAACGCGAAGAAACTAACGATAGAAGCCGGTTTTTGTGATATAGGACAATATCACTCGGCGTATACGAGTTAACATAAAACGTTAACGACATCGGCACCATACAAACAGAAGTCAGCCATCATAAAGAAAATTAAAATGTACAGCTATCGTAACATCTAAAGGACAATCGAATCTGAAATACGTTGCGTCTTTCGTATTATCCTCCTACTCCTTTCTCTTTTTTTTTGTCTCGTTATAGTCGTCGAAACGAACGGTAGTTTTACGAACTGCATCTTAAATAGCGCGTTACATCTTCGACGTGGTACGTTTTACGTAAAGTATATGGAATCAATTTATCAGTTTATACCTGCGAATAAGTACTTGTGGATTGGGGTTATGCATGAAGGGCTCCTTAAACTGTATAAGAACAAAGTTAAGACGTCGCTACGACTACAGGAGGAACAACATCGGGTTCTCCGGCACCGTCGGCCACAGCGGAATCGACGACCTTTTTAACTTTTATGGATTCACTACTTTCCGACGAACTCTCGGCCTCGCCATTTTGTGCCGCCGCTGCCGTCGACGCCGTCGCCGCGTCTTCGCTCGTAGTCTCCTTCGACGTCCCCTCGTTCAGTCCGTTACTGTGCAATTTGTCATCCAACACTGGCACCTCCGTATTCCCATTTTGTGTGGTACCGTTGAGTTTTTGCTTTTCTGAATCCACTGTATTTTTGTCCTTCACGTCCACCACATTCTCTTCTTTCACTGTCTCGTTTGTTGCTTCCTGCTTCGTAGCTTCGTTCTCGCATTTCTCGGCGTCAGACGCCGACTCTTCAGTTTCCATGCCTTGCGGTATCTTTTCATCAACCTTTTCAGGTTCCGCAGCAACCTCTACAGTCTTTTCCAGAGGTACTTCGTTCGACTGGGACGCTTCTCTCTTCGCGTCTGTCGTACTGGTTGTTGCTTCCGGTTCTGTTACTGTTGGCGGTACTGTAGTTTTTTCCACAGTTACCTCCGTAGTTTCTCCATTTTCAGTGACGTCTGCAGTCGTCTCTGTTTTGGCTACTTCTTCTGGTCCACTCTTTGCAGAATCTTTCTCGTTTTCGGACGTGCCGGAAACAGGTTTTGACTCTTCCTTTATCTCATCCTTTTCCGTTGCTAAGGATTCCTCGGATTTGTCTGCTATATTTTTGTCGCAGATTTGTGTCTCTGGACCAACGTCATCCTCCTTTTTATCATTTTCAGCCGTTGGAGCTTTATCGACAATCTCAGGCGGTGTATCCTTCACGACGTCCGCGGATTCTTCAGTCTTTTTCTCGGTAGACGTGGAAGCACTTTCAGACTTTGATATAGACTCTGGCACGGACGTATCCATGGAGTCATCGGCAACGGGAGTGGTGACTTCAGTTGCAGCTGTATCTGAGTTTTCTTCAGTCTTTTCTGGCACAGCGACTTTATCGCTGTCTTTTGCAACTGATGCCACGACGTCATCTTTCGCAGTTTGTTCTGTGCTTTCAGAGGAATCCATTTTTTCGTTTGTATCTTCGGATTTTACATCAGTTTCCATCGTTTCTGAAGCCAAGGCTTCCTGTTCGGTATTCGAAGAATCTTTCACAACCACCATAGGTTCTTCCTTTTGTGCTGAGGAAGTCGAAGCGTCTTCCGACGACTGACTCTTCACATGCTCAGTTGTTTCTGTTTCGGTTACTTCCTTCGCATCATTCTTTTCGACTTTTTTATCACTGACGTCGGACATTTCTACATCCTCCGAAGTATCCATTGGCTCACTGACATCAGTCGTACCTTCGTCAACTTTTTCATCTGCTGTTTCTAACTTTTGTCGCTTCGCAGACGTTTGAAATGTCAAATCCAAGAAGGAGTTAACAGTCGTAAACGTAGTTTTCTCTTCATCGGTCAGGGCGGCATTACCCTCACGTACCACGATGACTGACGATAAACCCGCTTCCTTGGCAGCTGCGGCTTCTGTCATTGTTTAAGGGGGAAAGAATGAGCAAAGAAAAAGATATTTAACATCGTCCAAATATGATGTAAACCTAGAGCATGCAACACGATATAAAAAATTACTAATTATTTAGTATGATTAAATTAATACTGCGCGAAATGATGGGAAATATACAAACCTTTTACGACATCAGTAAGGAATACAACATTGGATGGTTTTTCATTGATTTTGCTTAAAATATTTTTGTAGCTGTCAATTTCTTGCTTTGCGCCTACTTCTGTGTCAAAAAAGCCACTAAAATACTAGAAAAGAAAATAATTTTCATAATTAGTTCGTATAAATATTCCACCAAGATATCTGATAAAATATCCGCAATTAACAGTATATATTGTGTTATTATATATAGAATAATACCTTAAGCATATCGCCATGTTCGGCATGTCCAAAGAGGAGTTTTTGTGCTTCAACACTGCCACTTGAATAGGCGTATATTTTTTTGCCATCGTTCGTCCACGATTCAAGCGCTTTAGGGACATCTTCATAAACGCTAAACAAAATGTATATTCTTGAAGCCTAACGTTAAAAACAACTTAAATCCTTTCAAGTTCTTTAATTGATCTTTATAGTCTCAATCTTTATTTGGTTGCAAAGATTTTCATAACAAAAAACACCATAGGACTGAACCTCAAAGTAGATAAAATTTTATAAAACAGTCTTTCACAATAATCATTTAATCTTTCCAATTCTGAGATAAAAATGTCAAACCTAAATAGAAATTTTATTGTGCTGTTATATGCTATTTTATTATGTATCGAAATGAAAAAGTGCTAAAAATTCAATAGAAAAGTTATGAAATATGAAAAGACTACTCAGCATGCTCCATAAGATCTGAATACAAAAACTTATGTACTTATTCTATAACAATTTAAAATTTGGTCTGTAGGCGATTATATGAAGATATCGAGAAAGTTAAAAAGAAAATGGCTTCTGATGTATACCCAATATATAAAGTGTAAACATTCAAGGTTTAGAATAGACGAAATATAAAATTCAAGCACACTACAGAATCTATTTTTATACATATCAGATTCAATATAAGCGTCCTGTAATGTAAATATAGAGATAAATAAGATATAACTGAAGTGAGCCCAAATACTACATATTCACCTCACTCTATTCGTCTATAATTTATTATATATAGTATACAATTTTTTATATGTGCATATATATATAATGGGCAAAATCACGTATTCTTAAAACATTTATATCTAACTGTATATCTAATATTAGTATAAATTGCTACATACTAATGTTTCACGAGAAATGAAAAGATCTTTATATGCATTACAAGTTTTGTAAAAACAATACGGTGCAAATCACATATAAATTTTATTTATTGCAAGTAGTAACGAATTATAAAAAAAAATAAAACAGAATAACTTACTGAGCTTTAACTGCGTCTGTTTCATATGCTTGTAACCACATATGTCCTTGCAATTGCTTCAATGCACCCGTCTTACGATCATTGTCCATTTGCCATAAAATATTTTTCAAAAGTGAATCTTTTTCTTCTTCAGGCTTATCACCATTAATCGCTACAAAGCCATCTAACTTTTCTTCTTCATCCTTTTTTGCCTAAAAAAAGGGCATTGATAAACTATTTATAATATCAACAAAAAACCAGAAAAAAGCAGACAAAACACAAAGAAAGGAAATATTGAAAGAAAATAATGAATTCTGAAACCAATTTTAAGATTTATTTGCACCATTCACATGTAAAGTATCTATGAAAAATATTTATATAAATAATGTATATATATAATATGTATATATAATCAAACTAAATATTAAACATGTAGAACATATAAATTAAGAAAATGATTCTCATCGTTGAAAAAATATAATCTTACTGCTAAAGGCACAGGAAAGGGTATCTTGCGATCATCCATTGTTAATGTTAGAAATTCTATCATCACATGAAAAATCTCAACATAACCATTCGGTCTCTATCGTAATACAATGAAATCTAGCATATTAACTAATTTACATCTGATCAAGAAAAATATTTTCTTAAGACAAAGAATATGTATTCTCCTAAATCTTTTTTTATGAGAACAACAAAATTAATATTATTTGATAACAGTACCAGTAAAATATCACTTTAAGGCAGGTTTTAACTAAAAATTTAATAATAAGTTAATCAGTGTTTCTATCACGTCAAGTGTCAATTACTATATTAAGAAAAACATGATTATAAAATTTTATATTTAAAATGCCAAGTTTCACCCAGGAAACATGAAAAAAATTTGATATTGTGTGATACAGTATCCATCATTGGTATATAATCTCTCTCAGTCCCAATGAAAGACAAATGTCATTTTTGATAATCAGCCTGCAAGGTTAATCCAACAAAGTTTTCTTACATATTTACCTGTTCTTTTAACTTTTCATAATCCTTCTTGAACTCCTCATCCTCCCACTTTGACTCGATATAATTTTTCAAATTTTGGCGCACATAGGGGAAGAGGGTCTCCTGTAAGAGCAAAAACAAGCCGCGCGTAAGGATCAACCATCGGTCGGGAGTTTCGCGTAAGTCGGGAAACGCTCGCCGGGAAAAATCACGCGCGTGTCCCGTTGTTCCCAGCAGCGTTCGGCGGCGTCTCGGCGCGCCGCGTCAATATACATACCGCGACCGATATCTATAAAAAGGCCATGGTGTTTGTTTTCAAGCCCTCGCGATTCCCATGGGCCGTTTAGCGGCTGGAGGGCGCGGGTTTGCTCTTCGGCCGAAAATTCGAGGCGATGTTGAAACGCCTTTCGACTTGACCGATTCGCAAACACGGTGGTGGTGGCGGCGGCGGCAGCAGCAGCGGCGGTGATGGCTGTGGTGGCTCGCGATCGCCCGAAAACTCGATTCGAGCCGGCGGCACACCGCCCCGATGCGAGGACAATAACCCGCCGTGGAATTCGACCACATATATGCGCGACGAGACGGGAGCGAAGAGACGGAGTCTCTCTCGCGGATGCCCGGACGACTTCCCGGGGGGAGGGGAGGGGGGGGTTGCGAGTCGCCTCGGCCGGCGAAACGCCGCTCGAGGGGATCTCGCCGTCGGGAAAATCTCACGGCGAAATTGCTCCGAACGAAACGGAACGGAACGGTATGGCGCGGTACGTTACGGCACAGCCGAGTCCATGGGACGCCCGTCTCCCTCTCGCGCTCTGCTTCGTCGCCTTTGTGCGTTTACCTTGACGAAGCTGATGCTTGTGGTGGTGCCCTCGATGTCGACGAGCACCGTGCTCGCGGTTAAGGTCTCCCCCTGATCCTGGGTACGCTTTTCCCCGGCCATTTCCACGAACGACACGTCCACGACCGTAGGATTGATAGCGATGTATATCTATATGTGTGGTGTTCCCTCTCGGTTAGGTTGGCGCTCACGCTGTGTATGTCGGCGACGACGCGTTCTTGTTGGGAGCCGGCGAACGAATTCGCTGTTGGCCGTGCGCCAATGTGTACCTTCGGTGTGTGAGTGCGTGCACTCACAGACTCCCCCCCTTCTCACGGCCCGCGCCCTGATGTACCCGGTAACCAAACCGTAGCAAGGCGTTCGGGTGCCTTCGGTCTTACTCGGAGGTCCCACGGCTCCTCTTCCGTCACTCTAGACAGCGCTGCGCGAACGGATACGGCCATCTGTACGACGTTATTTCTCGCACCGAGAACGTTATATCGCCCCTCCGCGATATGAAAACATCAGAAAGACGTCGAAAAGTACCTAGAGGATATTCCTTTCACAATCTGATACCGCACAGAAGCTTTTGTATTGTATTTCTAAAGATTTTTATTAACTAAGCATCAGTTAACATCTTTCTCGCTATATATCAATGCGATGTTAACTATTTCCATTTTTAATGATTATTCACGTTGATACGATTGATAAACACGAGCGAAGAAGTGGGAAATGAAATTTCTACGCGGGAAGCGCGAGGATTCGCGCAAGGCTGCGACGGTCCTGTATTGAATACGAAACCGCGAGCCGTGTCGGCGTGTGTATACGCGCGAATTCGCGATGATGTGAGTGCGCGCCGTGCGAATCGCTCGCTTCCCCTCGGCTCCGTCCAATGAACGGTTTCGCCGTAGAGTCGGTGTGCGCTACATGCATGCGCCTCGTACGCTACCCTCCTGCTCCGCGAGAATTTCACGTTGACGAATCTAGCGGAAAATCGTCGATCTCGACGAATTCCGTCGACGAATCGGCGCAAAAATCTGCGTTGGCTCCTTGTAGCTCCTCACCGCGACGATGAGACGGTCGATTCGACCGAAGAAACTGTTCGAATATCGACTCGGCAGCGAACCCCTCTCCCCCGGTATTACTCCGCGGAAAGTAGTTCCGTCACGCATTGTTTTTTGCTGATTTTCGAAAAACAGCACGTGATCAGCGGGCCCCCGACCGTTTCCTTTGAAATGTCCAAATTCTCGTGCATTCCGTTGCGATACGGCCGCTTACCGATTTCATAGGAAGAATTTCGCTGCCGAGGATTTGTCTCAATAGTACGGTCGTCCATGGATGTGTACACAGATGACCACCTGATTTTTGCGCCAGCGCCGCGTCCATTTAAATCTCCGCGTGCCGCGCACACGGCAGTAGCCATTTAAATTTAAACGATGGCGACCACGTTGCTTTCCTGTTGATGTGCAACACTAGTAATCGTACATATGCAAGACAGTTTACTAATATTCATGACGAGATGTATGATATTAAGAATTTTTTTAGGAATATTCTTGGAGCAAGGTAAAACTGTAGTTTTATTATGGTGAAGAATTATACGCTTACTAGTGATCATTATTGTTTACCTATTTTGCAATATTTACTATTACCGTATTGAGTCTACATATATATTACATATTATTATATATAACATAAAATATATAATAATAAATATATATATATATATATATACATATATATATTCAATATAATGTTTACATATACATAATTGTTGCACAGAGGAGATATATTGTTACATAACATCAAACGGTATAACAAAAATAATGACGAAAGAATGAATTTAACTATGTCGCATGTTATATTAAAAGTACCACCATCAATTGTTTTATGAAAAATAATGTAAAAAAATTACTTATTCTGTTTAACTTAAAAGACTACCTGGTGAATACCACCATATTTCGCAAGTACCAATTCTTAATACGATTTTATATGACTTCGCAACTACGGGTTACAAGTTTTCTGATCTGTGCAATGTGTATTGCATCATTTTTAGTTTTTCGCCTAGGTGTTTGTTCAAATGTATTCTAATCTCTTGTTGGCTGCTGCATTTCTCTCCACATTCCGGACATCCGCTCTCGCCGTGCTCCTTCTTACGGTGGTGCGTGCAATTGTTGCAGCTGGAGAATATCTGGCCACAGTCCGAGCACTGTAAAGGCCGTTCGCCCGTATGCTTGCGATGATGATGATCGCGTATGTCCTCTCGTTGGAAGCTCAAGTTGCAGTGTTCGCATTGGAACGACTTTCTTTCGGTGTGCAGCAGAATATGACCGTGCAGAGACCTGATGTTGTTGAAACTTTTGTGCACTTGTAGCGCTTCTCGACCCCATGTTTGATCCTGATGTGATTTATCAGCAATTGCGTGAACGTGCTTTTACACATGTTGCACTCGAATGTCGGACTGATCCTGTCCTCATGCACCTTTTCCTTGTGCTTTTTGAGAGATAGATGGTGCTTGAACTTCTCGCGATACTCGTGCCACGGTTGTTGTTCCGTCAGCAGCGGATCCTGATCATGGGTTTCGTATCATGTGATATTTTAGCATACGGTAGGTCGGCAGATCTCTCGCGACATAAAAACACTCGGGGTAATGACACGTTCTTGCCCTCTTTCCAGTGTTTTTCCAAATGCTCATTCATGTTCTGCTCATTCACGAACGACTTGTTGCATATCTTGCAAGTGTAGCGGATGCGGGAAAAATGGGTCTTCTTGTGGATCTTGAGCGCGTTGATGGTCGTGCTACGCTGGCCACAAAAATCGCACTGATAGGCGCTCTCGTGCATCTGAATGTGATCTTTCAATCGTATCTTCAGTTGAAATGATCTGCCGCACAGCTTGCAAACAAACGGCCCGATGCCTTTGTGCATGAACGTAGAGAGTATTCTCCGCGTTGAATTCTTTACCACACGTGCTGCAAACACACTTACTCATGTTCTCGTTATGCCGGGTCCCGTGGAATTCCAGTCTCGCCTTGTACACGAAAGCCTTAGAACAGTGATACGGCCGTGGCGAGATTACCCTCATCCGACCATGAGTGACAAGGCGAAATCGTTGCACATTACCAGGTCGTTAATAGCCTTCGGACCTAAGTCCGTTACCGGGCTTTTGCAGAGAGTGCAATTTATAGATTTTCGTTTCCGCCTGACATTCTGATTATTCATATCGAAATGCTTGCATATTTTCTGATGGCTTTTCAGTTTCGTCTTCCTCGCGAACGTTCTATTGCGTTCCATGCGCACGGAGCTCTTGTGCGCGTAGAAATAACGACTCCACAACAAACTCTCATTGCTAGTCTCTTTCTCGCATACCGTGCAGACGAACTTATCCATTTTGTTCAGTTCATGCCTTTTCATGTGACGGAAAATGTGTCCCGCATAAGTCGCATATGATCTTCGGGCAACTTTTAGTATTGATATCCTCGCATTTCGTAGAATCCTCGTCAACACATTCTCTCTCTGTTTCAGTCGTGTACACTATACCATCATCCTCTTTGCCGCCTACTTTCTCGTCAAGATTCCATGTTGCCATTTACTGACACAATTTCCATCAAATCATTCGCGTCGTCATTTACCGTCTCGATATTTTTTAAATTAATTATTTACGCTGTCGTTTACTGATTCGATTTTTATCAAATTATCTGTACTATCGTAATCAAAATTCTGCAAATTTGCATCAGGTTTGTTTGTTATTGTATTTTCTTCTATTTTTAGTTTCAACTCGCTAAGATTATTCTCTGTTTCAAGAATAATATTTTTCTGACATCCTTCCTTTGCATCTTTTCTTTTTTCATACAATATATTTTTACTTGGATACATAATATAAGCATCTATAGAATTAGCTTCTTATAAGACTAACGAGCTTTTGCATTCTTCATTGATACATTCGTTTACAATGCATGCTGTAGTTTCATCATCTATTATACTTGACTTTTGCATACAGGTATTATCATGATATATTGTATTTTTAGGTATTTGCGTGTCTTCTTCCTTTATCGATTTCCCCATTTGATCTACAGCAGCTAGTGTGATTTGAACTGCACAATTGATATCTTCAAGATTATTGCTTATTATGATCATTAAATCTATATTACAATTGGGACATGTGTATATCATGTCGTGTAGTTTGGAAACCATTTCTATTTTTTTATTCTTATTAAGTTCGCACAAAGAGTTATTTTTTGTTGTACTGATATTTTCTTTTGATAGTTTCAAGATGTTTTGCATAAATTCATAGTGCTTGATAACCTTTTCGTAACTGTCCAAGCATATATATCTCGAATAATCATCATCTGGTGAAACCTGTATAAAATTAAAAATGTAGTAATAAGTTCCCCTGATAACATACCTAAGATTATTCTAGATATGCTCAAGATATTCTAGGATATTTCTTAGGATATCCTGGATATTTAGAAAAATGCTAAGATATCTTGTGCTGAATTATTTTATAGCAAGGTACTAACCTCTTATTATATACAGCATAAACATACCTTGAGCGATAATGTGTCATTTATTTTCTGTGTCAAATTAATCTCATCAAAGATTTCTATTAACTCATCTTCTTCAATTTTTATACAACACAAATGGCATATCAGTTTATTGTTTAAGTTATCCATCTTAATACTTTCATAAATTATACATAGCATTTCCTGATGTTTCCTAAGGTGATTTTACAACTTTTCGTCGTGGATATTATAAAATAATAATCTTTCCTTATACAAACACATATCTCTTTCAAATATTGGCATTAATGGATTTTTGAGGTTACGCTTGCCTGTAGAAAAAGATAAAAAGTTTGAAAATATTCAAATTTTATATAAATAATAGTTTAGATAATGATTCCTTTTGATAATTACTACTAAAGATAATTTATCTCTTCGATATTTCTATTTCTTATTACTTTCAGTAATTTAATTTATAAATCGTTACTAA